TTTGTGGGAGGAGCAAAGCCTAACCTGGCCCAAGGGCTTTTGCAAGAATCTTTCAAACGCAGTAAAAGTGGAATTTGACGGAGACTCACCGGAAGCCCTCAAATGCTTGTAGGTCGCCGGGTTACAACAGTTCATGCCGTAATGCTGTTCACACGATGCGTCTTGGAAACTAGCCGTTTTGGGCTTGACGAAGCTGGCCCTGCGTGACCATTATGTTAGTCGGCTCTAAATGATGCCCGCTAGTCGTCGAGACGGCATGTCGAGGAATAGGCGTCTCGGATTCGACTTCCTGTTGATAGGCATTGGCCAAAACCAAGTTACGTTTTGATGGATAATTGTGCGCGCATTATTGCGTGTTGCGGCTTATGAGGTTTTCATGCGTATGTATTTAAAGAGGAAATTATGAATCATAGGCCTTGCCAAATGAATGGGCATGCAAAGATGGACTATGACATGGGGGAAAGGTTATATTTCAGACTCGCTGAAAATATTGTATTTGTGGGTTGAAATGCAATTTTTTATATGCCCACCTTGGGAGCCTGACTCTTACTGGGCACGTGTCTAAAAATGTCTCCGTCAAGACGCCCTCAGCCAGTCGGTCTTGACGAACGGACAGAGGCCAAATTGCTGGCAGCCAAATATTCTGTCGACAAATTTGGTGCGAGGAGATCTGGTGGAAATGGATGGAGCCACAGACAACATCGGAACGGACAGCATTTGGCCGTATTGAATCATGAGGTGGAGAAAAATCCGATGTAGTCTTTCACAAAATATTGTCAAATGTATGTAGTAAAATGTTCCCAAGATGCTTCTTATCATGGTTTTGAGGAGACTTCGAAGAATGATGTGCTTTGCTGTTTGCGCCATGCTCTCTTCTAGGATTCGTTTGCTGGACTGAGTGACGCTGACCTCAGCAAAGAGCTGGCACATTCCCAAAAGGCAATGGTATTAATAGGTTTGAACTTGTATAATCCCGTTTGATCGGCCGAAAAATGGGTCCACATGAAGCCCAAGACAACATTTGTGGATGAGGTTATTTTAAGAAACAGAGGCGGATATGGAACGTCAGAACCATGTATAAAGAAATACTAACGCTTTCCTCTGTCAGAGGATCGTCAGACACCTGCAGATCAGGTTGTTATAAGGTTTTGTGCTCATGGGACAGTGTCTATGGGGGGGGAGACTTTTTGACTCATACATAAGAGTTTATGAGAAAAAAAATATATGGAAGTGGCAGAACAGTTCATCACTACACAAAACCAGATAGACTAGTCTAAATCCCAATACTTTGCCGGATATGAGGACTTCACAGGTAAATGGGAGATCAGAGAGTCGATTGAAATTAACAAAACGAAGAACATCTTGAAAAAGAGGAACGAGTGTAGACAATAAGTAAGAACTTTCTCTGGCTGCCGAATATAATTAGAGAGAAAGAGAAAGAGAGAAAGGATTGACTTCGTTTTCCTCTTTGACGAATTATAGTGTGGTGCTAAGCATGGCAAGGCTCACTAACGATGCCGACTACGATGCATGCGAAACGTCTTGGAATGTACCAAGTCCACAGCCCGACTCTGGAAATGATCATGCATACTATGGACTCCGGACAAGGTGGGTTCCTCTAGGTCTTCCTGCCAACAGGATCCAGTTGGGGAAGCAAGGTCAGCCAAATTATAAACAACGAAAGGAGACCGCGACCATACAAAGAGCAAAACTATCCTGGTCTTCATATCTTCGATTTACATAGTTTTGCTTCCATTAAGATATTCTTATTCAGGGTGGACTGCAGTTTCCATCTCGCCTAGGTCTTATCATCATTCCAAGCGGGATTTGAACTATGCTAATGTAGCGTATCATCTCGACACGTTACCTACTACTCCACATTGCTTCGAGTGCCCTTGCGTCACAGGGCACATGTGAATTTCTAGGAAAGCAAGATATTTTCCCATACCACATTCTGTGGTAAGATTTTCGATAAAGCAAAGTTGTATTTGCTATAACAATCGGATGTATTACTTATTTTTAATTGGAAAGTAGGTTTTCAGGACTGCCAACACGTTAGTTTAGTTACGTTGGCAAAAGTTGTGACCTGCATCACTTCCACTCACTCACATTCATCTAGAACAAGTATAAAGCAAAGAAAAGTTGGGTTTCGGGGAATCTCTTGTTGCATAATTGTTGTGCTTACTTCCATTACGAGTGAAAGTGTTTGCTGAAAAGATTCGAAGGTCGATTCCACCAGACGACGATGGCGGATTCCTCTTGATCAGCTGTCTACGTCAACAAGAGCGTTCCAGTAAAGTCAATCGACAGCTGATCGTCGTCTTTTGGGGGAATCGACTTTTGAAGCTCTTCACCAAATCCACTGTCTGATGCTGGGAATCATTACAACTACTATGGCAGACGACTTCGCACAAGGTGCGTTCTAGCTAGTCGCCCTGACAACAAGACCAAGTTGCGACAATGAGGTCAACCAACATCACATATAACTCATTTACTGGTAGTCTCGAAACTCTGATTATAAACGAAAAATAAGTAATGTAGCCGATTGTTATAGCAAATATCATTTTGCTTCACCGACGATCCCACGAAAGAATGTGATATGGAAAAATGCCTGGCCTTCCTTGAAATTCGCATCTGTCCTGTGACCCAAGGGCACTTGTGGAAATGTGGCAAAGTGGTTAACGTGTGGAGCTTATATGCTGCACTGCCAGGGTTCGGGTACCGCTGGAGATGTTTCTAAAACCTAGGCAAGGTAAAGATTGAAAGGCTTTGTGAAATTCAATGGGAACGTCAGCTCTATTCATATGATTGTGGGAAAATTCGGTTACTAATCCTTCATCGCCTTAAACCAAATAGAGTGAATACATCTGATATAATTGATTTACTGGTAGTCTTGAAACTCTGCTTATAAACGAAAAATATTTTAATATGTGTTCGCAACTTTTATCCTTATTCATACAAACTGTCAAAAGGCTAACACAACACAGATTAAATTTCCTCTATCTCATTGGGAAGATTTGCTTTCCAAAAATAAATTTTAGAGCTTTCATTGACCAGCAGAGTGTTTAGCTTGCTTCCAATCCGAGAGAAGATGTTTGGTTAAAGGATTCGATGACGACGATGGATTCCTCTCGACTAGCTTTTGATTGGCTGTACTGGGGCAGTACAGCCAGACAGCTGTTTCCCAGACAATTACTTTTGATTCCAGTGAAGACGTGCTAACCTTTCGTCCTTTGAATGAGGCCAATCTCAGAATCTATTCATCATGAACTTACCCACGGAATAAAAGTCTCCCCAACAACGTTATCTTAGGAGACTCATCGAAACCCAGTTAGAGTTCTTGTCACTGAACTTCTTGACGGTATTACTTACATTCAATGTATTGCGTAATCGGTTGAGTTTAATGGCCTCTCTAATTTTACGCTTAGCTGCAGACATACTAAAATCAACATTCACCATTCAAAAAATTATTTTTTTATTTACCAAATGTTATTTTAACCAGGCCTAGCAAATAATTACCCTCAGGTTATATTAGGTTAAAGAGATCAATTTGATTATCCCAATAGTCTCTAACGTCGAGTTCAATTTCCGTATACTCATACATTTTAAAGCACAAACACGTGTTTTGTGAAATTATTTGGAGTAGAAATTAAGGGTAAAGCCAGAGTATGTTGACCTTATACATACATACGAAGAAAAGTTGGGTTTCATAATTGTTGAGCTTCCATTTCGAGGAAAAGTGTTGAGTGAAGAGATTCGAAAATCGGTTCCACCAGAATACGACGGCGGATTCCTCCTGACGAGCTGTCGATTGGCTTTACTGGAAGATTCATGCTGACGC